AACATGGGACCATTTCTTGGCATTTTTTATCGTGGATACAGGAAGCACATTATCCGACACTCATAACCCAGAGTGTTTTTTGAAAACATTTTCATAGAAAGGATGCCGGAAAGTTAAAGGTAGCATAATAGAACTTTTGCTGATTCTTTCAATCTTACACATAGCTAGTGCTGTAGAGATTCAGATGTAGCACAGATTCCTCTGTATGGAAAGATCATGTGCTTTCCTGTGGACTTATGCATGGCATGGTCTGCATTGTCTCTCACAGCTGCAGCTTTCTTGTGTGTCTCCTGCTGAAAGTTAGACAGCATTGTGACTGTTCTGACTTTGGATGTGGCTGCTTAGAAACAATAAGATTGTCCTGCAAGTCTGTAAGGGTTTTTAGCCAGTTAAATTCTTTTCCTTCCTCCTTTCCCCACCTCCTCTCCCTTCTTTCCCACCTCCTCTCCCTTCTTCTTTTCCTACCCCAAATTACAGGGTTGTGTTTTTTTTTTAATGTTTTGTTTCATGGTGCTTTGTTTAAAATAAATGGATACTGATATTTACCAAGCTCCATCTTGACTTTCAGAAATTACAATAAACAATAAAGACAACAATGAAAGACAACCAGGGCTTAAAAGTTTGCATTTCAGTAAGAAATATGTTGCACTGTTGAGGGAATCCTCCTCCCAGGCAACTCATTATCATTGATGTTATAAAAGGTTAGTAACAATGGGTTGCTTGTAGCATTTTTTAAACGCCTTGCCACTTACCTTACATCAGGGACGGATATCACTAACTTTTCTTTTCGAACAGCGGCCAAACTTTTATGAACTTAGGGCCCTGTCTGGAAGTTCTGTCCCAGCTTACCCACTGTGTGGAATGTGGGCCACATAGGTCGCATAAGGAAATGTTGGTAGTTGACTTAAGTATCAGTTGGTGGCGTTTCCAATATATGACTTTGTTCTGGTCTTTTTAAAAAAAAATAGTGATTTTTTTATAGATAGCCATAAATGGTAAAAGAGTCTCCTCCTGTATAGCTGTGCCCTTCCTTGCTATGATATTTGGTGTTGTTCCTGCAGCTTTTTCCAAGAGTTTCAGCACAGAGTGGAGTAAAAGGGCTACCTTTCTTTTAATCAGCCAAGGCAGAAGAAATACATATGAGATTGACATGGAGATTGTGTATCAATCATCAGTGCGGACCGAGTCTGCCAACAGCTTTATGAAGTCTCTGCTCTCTGCTGCAATTCACTGTTCGTTGCATCTAGGACTTGTGTTTCTGGTCCAAACAAAATAAAGTAGAAGACCCAGGACAAAATAATGTTTATTAAGTCACAACGAATCATATTTTTGGCACATGTCTGTGAGATATACAGAGAAGCCTTGTTCCCATTCCTCCTTTTTTTTGTACAACCCCCCCCCCCGTATTATGTTTTTGAGCATAATCATGGAGACATTTTTTTGCAGTGATATCTTGCAGTGATGAGCAATTACTGTTCCCAAGGTAACTCAAAAACAGTTGGCAACTTTGAATGTTCTTCTATAAGCCTGGGGCTGTAGCCAAAGTGAGGGCCAGTGAGTGTGTTGCTGCAGCCGAAGCACTGATACGCTTAACCTAATGCACTCACACATATACATACATCAGTGGGATTTTACAGTTTGAGATCCTTTTGAAAGCTGTGGGCTTTGTGTTAGTAATCCCAATCTTTCTTTCTTTCTTTCTTTCTTTCTTTCTTTCTTTCTTTCTTTCTTTCTTTCTTTCTTTCTTTCTTTCTTTCTTTCT